GTCAAAGTCAGCCTTCTGACATCGAAAACCAGAGTAGCGCCCTTAAAAAACCCAGTCTCTTCCCAGACTAGAGTTGTGTGCTGCGTTACTTTTAAACCAACCTCTTACATGCAGTATTATTATGCATAGAACTGCCTATTAACAATATTTACGCATGGACCGACTCGCGGGTTACATTGGCATGGATTTCGTCCGAACCTCACCGTTGCCTACCTTTGTGGCAAATCGAGTTGCAAAAATCCAGGAAGCTGTTCCAGGTATTCAGCAGAGTTGCCAACTCTCCCGATTTAGGGGGGGCGGGAGACTCCCGATTTTCGACCGCTCTCCTGCCAAACCCGATTTACAATATATTCTCTCCGACTTTTTCTTATTCTTAATATTTCTCACGATTTTTATGGAACTTGGCTTAATACTTCGTTATATGAACAAAAAAAAAGTGATTTTGGACGTCTGAAAGCAACTGAATTTTCTCTAGATTATATCTAAAATGAAACCTTGCGAATCAGATGAGAATTTCTGCTTTGTGATTGACAGCATGCGTATCCAGAAGCGTCGTTCTCCAGTTGTCCAATGGGCATCGAGCTCCACTGCGTGTCATCTGGCATATATTAGCCAATGAGCACAAAGCAAGCTCAAGGCCGTTGGCCGTTCTTTGGATGTTCTTTCGCTATTTCGTTCATCTTGTCCTGAGTTGTGTGAGTACACGTGCCTTTAGGAAAATAGTTTTAGAAATTATCGTCTTTTGATATGTCTGCGAGAAAGGTGAAATACTCGTGCACGTTTCAAAAATTGTACACAGTTGACTTTCCTTCCATTATTTCTTCAAGGAAATGTAATAAATTTGCGAGGTGTACCATCTGTCGTTGCGATTTCTCGATTTCGCTTGGTGGAAGGGCAGATGTTCTCAAACATGTGCATACACAAAAACACAAGGACAACATGAGTTGTTTTAAAAAACGAAAAATTAAATTTTTCTTCGGAAACAAAAGACCAAAAAGTGATTAATGCAGAATGTCTGTTCTCTGCCTTTTTACTGGAGCACAACCTGCCACTGAATGCATCGGATCACGCTGCAGCTTTATTTAGAAAAATGTTTCCCGATAGTGAAATCGCTAAGAAATACTCAAGTGCAAGGACCAAAACAGGTGCAATTGTTAAAGAAATGGGTTTGAAAAATAAATCTTCAGTTATTGATTGCATTAAAACAGCTCCGTTCTGCCTCTCTACGGATGAAAGCAATAATACCAATTCAAAACTGTATCCAATTGTTGTTTCTTTTTTTAATCCAGAGTCTTCAGAAATTGAGTGCAGTTTACTTTCTGTTCCCACTTTAGACGGACATTCGACAGGCTTTAATATAGCACAGCTAATTATTAAAACTTTAAAATAAAATGCAGTCCCTCTGGATAATTGCTTAGCGCTTGGTGCCGATAATGCACCAGTAATGGTAGGCTTGAAGACTGGTGTTGCAGGCATCTTAAGAAAGGCAAATTCAGATTTGCAGATTATGAGGTGCACCTGTCGCCTCTTAAATTTAGCAGCTGAAGAAGGGGCAGATTCTTTACCATTAAATGTGGATGAACACATTGTTGATTTTTTGTAATTTCTGCATCATTCAGCAATTCAACTGGCAGTTCTCAAAATAATACTGCAAAATATAAGCGTAAAGCTGATACAAATTTCTCTCAAAATAATAAAAAAAAAAATTGCTCAACACACGAAACATTTTCCGATTACTGTAAGTTTATCTTGTGATGAACGAATATTTATGTTTTTTTCTTCGGACCTTAACAAAGCTTTTTGCTTTTTTTTTTTAAATTCATTTTGCCATCATTCGATGTTCTGAACACAATTATACAAAGCAGAATTCCATTAATTCATGTTTTGCAATCAATGATTTATGATCTGTTTAAAGACATTTTATCAAAGTTTGTAAAACCAGTCTGTGTTTTGTCTTGTAATTCTATATATGATGTGATTTATGGTGAAACAGAAAATCAGAAGGAAGATGAAGATTTGGTAATAGGAGCTGCAACTACAAAAGTAGTGGAAGAACTTTCAGAAGAAGACAAAAATAAGTTTTATCTTCATGTTAGAAGTTACTTCTGTCGAGTATGTGATTACACACTACATAAATTTCCAGTCAACGATGAAGTGATTTTGCATGTTAAAGTTGCTGATGTTTCTGCTCTAGCAAATGCATCTTTTTTTGATATAAGGTACTTTTTGAACAGATTTCCTGTGTTACTTCGTTTAGTCATGAAAGATGATGATATTGATGTTGCTACTGATATACTGCAGTCGCAATTTTGCAGTTTACAATTAGAAAACTTGGATGAAGTTATAAAATCAGCTAGGATTGACACCCAGTGGAGGTTAATTGGAAATTGAAAGGTGCTGATGGAATTTTAAAATATAGTGAACTCTCTAGAATTATGTTGGCCATCTTGACAGTTCCCCATAGTAATGCAGAGTGTGAGAGGATTTTCAGTGTTGTTGTGAAAACGAGGACTAAATTTAGATCTAATATTAGTGATGACACATTAGAAAAACTTTTATTAGCAAAAGCAGGCCTACGTGGCAATTGCTATGAACAAAATTATGAAGTTTCTTTCTTAATGAGAGCAAAATCTGCCAATGTCCATAACATTTGTATGAAAAGGGTTGGCAAGTATGGAATTATGTTGAGTGTCATAGGTTGGCAAGTATGGAATTATGTTGCTGGGAAAGAAAATCCTGCAGACTGTGGGACCAGAGGTTTTATTCCATCAGAATTCTTACAATGTGAGTTATGGATGAAAGGACCGCAGTGGTTAAACGAATCTAATTCATGTACAGCAAAATTCAAGTGTAGAATTAGAGAGTGAAGTTATGTTGAAGGAATTGAAAAAGAGTTTCAGTTCAAATGTTTCCAAATTTGAAGAGCCTAGTGTGTTTTCAAGATTTTCATCATGGTTAAAGTTATGTCGAGTGTTAGCATGGTGTTTAAGATTTAGAAATAATTGTAGTAAGTTACCTACAGAGTGTATAAAGGGTTATTTATCTACTGAAGAATTCTGTGAAGTTACTTCTATGATTGTTAGGATTGTGCAAAGAGCCAAATTTCCAGAAGAATTATTCTGTTTAGAATCTGGTAAACCCTTGAAGACATCAAGTAAATTACTGTCTTTAAGTCCTTTCTTGGATTCCGCTGGAGTAATGCGTGTAGGCGGAAGGCTCAGAAACTCTACAGTTTCAAATAATCAGAAACATCCTATGATTTTACCTAAGAATCACAATATTACGCGTTTAATAATTAAGCATTATCATGACACGTATCTTCACGCAGGTACGCAGCTACTCACTTCTGTCATACGACATAGATTTTGGATTGTGAATGCTAGAGATATTATAAGAAAGTGTATAAACCAATGTGTTATCTGCCGTAGAGTTAGAGCGCAAACTGTAACTCAGCTAATGGCAGATTTACCCGCTTCAAGAGTTACTCAAAGTAGAGCTTTTCTCGTGTAAGGATTGATTTAGCAGGACCATTTAACGTTAAAATATTGTCCTGGTAGAGGAGTCAACAATCTTTAAGTGTTACGTATGTCTATTTATTTGTTTACTACAAGAGCAATACACTTAGAATTAGTTGGAGATCTTTCAACAAAATCATTCCTTCCGACACTTAAGCGAATGATTTTGTTTATAGCTCGTAGAGGCAAACCGTGTGAAATTCACAGTGATTGTGCAACGAATTTTATAGGAGCTAATAAAGAATTAAGGAAAAGCCATTTTCTATTGTTCAACGTGATGAACAGCTACAGGGTTATATTTCTTCAGAAAATATTAAATGGTTATTTAATCCTCCCTCTGCCCCTCATTTTGGAGGGCTTTGGGAAGCGGGTATCAAGTCCTATGAAACATCACTTAAAAAGATGTTTAGGAACACTTATTTTAACATACGAGGAATTTTTGACATTAATAACCCAAATTGAATCCTGTCTTAATTCTAGGCCTTTGGTACCAGCTTCAAGTGATTGTAGCGACTTGGGAGGCGATAACACCAGGACGCGTTTTAACCGGAGCGGCTTTAAGCAGTATTCCAGAATCTAACCAAATTCAAGAAACCATGAGCTGCAGTGACCGTTGGAGGAACGTGCAAAGGTTATTTCAACATTTCTGGAATCGATGGAGCAGTGAGTATTTATCTAGGATTGCAGCAGAAGACCCAAGTGGTGCAACGTTACAAACAAGATCTGAAGATTGATGATATGGTTTTTATTAAGAACGAAAATCTACCTCCGCTACGTTGGAAATTAGGTAGAATTATTAAAGTGTATCCTGGTCTTGATGAGAAAGTTCGAGTGGTGGCGAGTTTACGCACTTCCTAATGGTGAAATAAAACGACCTATAGCAAAGCTATGCGCTTTGCCATTTAATTCCTGATTTAGAGACTTTAATTTTTATTTTTCAGGTTTATATGCAGTTCAACAGTTTAAATTTATTGTTTGAACCCCCTTGGGACTTTAAGGCTGGAGGTATGTTCGATGTTAATGGCAAATTGTATTTCTTTCTTTGTACCGAGGAGCGGCGCAGACGCAAATTTGTTAGGTTTTTAAAGCTCGCGTTTAGAGCTTTGAGGTTGCTGTGAATTACTGGAGTTTCAATTAGGCAGAGGTTCTTCTGAGTTTGTGTTGGTAAGCCGCCACTGAAGTCGGAGTTTGTGTGGTCTTCGCCGTTCCTCAACTAACCTGTTTGAAAGCCAATAAAGAAGTTTCGGTCAACGTTATGACTCTGAGGTTTTTTGGGTTCTATACTGAAGTAATATGAAGTCAATTTACAGTCCACTATTTTTAACAACGGATCGTACACATTCCTTTTTTTTTTTGTAGCCACAGAGTGCAACATGAACTTAACGAGCCTTCCGGTGTAGCACGATAATACAACCCAGTTTCATCAGCATTGTAATGTCATCTGGTGAAATATTTCCAAGAAGCTCATGCAGTTTTGTTGATTTTTCATTCTTCAGCATCTGCACTATTAGTATTTTCTTTCTCGCCATGTGCTTTCTTGAATTTTATGTCATATCTAGATTTCCACGGAGACAACCAACCATCCGTAGCTTTAAAGTCATCGTGGCTCAGCTTTTTAGTGAGTTCTTCTGTTTTGCATTTTAACATTGGGCCGCTTACTCGCACAGCTCGTCTAGTAACAATGGCAAACCTTTCATTAAGGGCCTCATCGACGTCTGGATCCTTGCCTTCACGCTTCCGTTTTTTGGAAGTTCCTCCTCGTCCTTCATATTGTGCCCATTCTTCTCGCTCATCCTCTTGTTTTAACAAGCACGAAATTGTACTCTTTGCCGATCCAGTGATTTCCACCAACCGACGTTGACTAGTGTTTCGTGGTTGTTGCTTGATCTTATCCAGAAAACCAATTTTTTTCAGCTAACTTCAAGTCTCGTTGTAGCATTTTAGCAGGGGAGACAAGACATGTGCACAGTTCACTGATTAAAGTGGTCTGAAGAAACTTTGGTGTTTCGGGGCCAAGATGTTGAGGTCAAGAGGGAGATAAAATGCTCGCCATTCGAAGCTTTGTCACTAAAATCATCCCAAAAGGTTGGTGATATGATAGAGTTATCATGTAAACTTTAATCATGATTAACAGACTGGAATTCCTTTCAGGTGGAGCAGGAGACTCTATTGTTCATTTACTCGAAAATCGGAGACGCAGTGGGGCCAATAATCTCGCTGGCAGATACTAGTCGCTCTGTTTTAAGAAAAGTCAAAGAAAATGGTGCGTGTGTTCATCTGCCATTGGTTTTGCTCTTATCATGTACTTTAAGGAATTCCTGATCTTTGAAAAAGCATTCTCCTGGGGAGCGCAGCTGCAAATCCCGCCGACCACCTGTACATCCGCTGTACGCAGCCGGCTTCTGGCTTCTGTTTCTTATCCGCTCTTACATTTTTTGGTCCGATTAAACAGAATTTTGGTTTAAATAAGCGAATAATATTAGGCTTATGCATATAGGATTTGTTTCGGTTTTTTAGGATTCGGCCCTAAAAAGCGGCTGGTCCAATTAACTGGATTCAGCTATATATATATATAAATTCACAAAAGTAAAAATAAAAAATATCATTCCTACTGCCGGGGGCATTTCTTTCGAAAATCCGTAGTTATAACAGCCCACATACGTTCCATAGTGTTGATATGAGCTCCGGTTTCCAAATCCTTAAATCTCACTGCATAGTTTTCCGAGAGGTGAACCGAGAGGTCCATTAAAATTTTCATTTAGTCAATCAGTGTTTTCTTTCCCATTCATTCCAAAGTGTACAGAAACTTAATCATACCACCAGCAGCCATTTTACAGTACAAAATAAGCAATGTACTTCCTAACCAACATTCAACACATAAATAAGCACTTGCAAATATTTTCCCAACAGTCAAAATCACACATTACAACCAATCACGTCATAATAGAGTTTCCATAACATTCAATGTAAAATACTCAAATTGCCATATAAATGAAACAACAACTTGGCGATAATCCAAGAGGTATCCTAAAATATAGTCTAACCACGACACCGCCCTTTTTCACCAAGCTCACCAGCGCTAATGGTTCTTGCGATATAAAGTTAAGGGTTAGAGTGGATTTAAGAGTGCTTCTTGGATTATCACTGAGTTGTTGTTTCATTTATGGTAACCTGAGTAGTTGTATGCTACATAAACCCTATTATGACGTAATTGGTTGCATGATTGTGGTGAATTTGAATGATAGGAAGCAATTTGGAAAGTGTGCGTCGGATTTTAGATAAAAAGTACGTTGTTATTTTGTGGTTTACACAGTAAAATGGCTGAACATGGTAAGATTAATTTGAAGTTTCTGTACAATTTGGAACGAAAGGAAAAAAAGCATTAATTTACTTTTGTGTAAATGAAGGTTTACTTAGTAGCCATTATTAAGTGTCCTGTTTGTAGGAAGGTAATGTGTATTGTCAAAACGTCGGACGATACCTACACTATGGAGGATATTTTTTACTCTTATTTTTGTGAATTTATGTGGCGACACCAGTATACAGATTCTAGTTCAGATAATTTTAGGAAGTTTTGGATGCTGTTAAAAAATTTTGTTTGACTGAAGACATATAAATTCATAAATAAGGTAAGTGGATATTTCCTTTGCATAGTGCTAAGATAAATTTCCTTTTTTATGTTATTTTTTTGTTTGATTTAAATTGTAGTTTATTGAAATTATATATTTTTTTGTTGGCTGCTCCTTTGACTTTTTAAGTGAATATAGATTGATATATACATGGACAAATTCAAGGGAGTGGGAAATGCCTAATTTGTGCAATTCTCTGATGTTTTTTCAAATGAAAATAGGTTGATGTGTACATGGATACTGAGTTTGTACAATTCCACAACTTATTATTTTGGATTTTTGGTGCAAAAATCGCCACTACACAAAGCCAATATAACAAGTCAAAGAATTACACAAACTCGGTATCTGTATGCCTTCAATTGGGGAACCGGTAAATATATTTTTACTCAGATTCCTTGTTCAAGAAATCTCTTCACTTTTCAGCAAACTCTTGTCTAATTTTTAATGGAATTCTAGGAAACTTCTCAGCAAATATTTTTATATTGCATTAAAAAATTTAATTGCATATAACTTTAACTGTAATCTGACCATCGCTAATGCTGCCTTGGCTGACATTCTGCCAAAACACTTAAAATCATGTAGGAGAAGTATCACATGAAAGTTTGTTTGGCAAAGAGAGAGTGGGAATTTCATGAATTCAAACACTGTAAATTTGAAAAAAGTACTTAATTAAAAACTGATGCTGTTTTGACATTTAAAAAGAATAAAGAAAAGGTAGGACTTCAAATCGTCAACCTCTTAAATTCTATGAATCTTTTTGTTCAGCTACAATATAAACTTTCCAAAGTACTAAATATTTATTCTAAAGTTATCTAAAGCTTCCAGCATATTGAAGCATGCTGCTAAAATTGAAAGATTTTTTATTTAAATGTACTTTAAAAGCATTGTAAAAAGGAAAAGCTATAATCCAGGTGATGACCACAGCTGCCAAATGCAAGTTAAAAATGCTTCGGTTTCATATATACAAAGGTTGGAGAATAAGTAAAACTTTAATATTGAATATTGGGAAAATGGGAAAAATGTTGTGATAATCCATAATAATAAGATTCTTAATGGATAACCTCCCCCGCAAAAAATCAGGTAAACTTATAAGAAATAGAGATTGAATGATTTCAATTTCAGATGATCATAATAATGAAATTGACATAGAATCTATAAAGTAATTTTGTATATTAAGAATGTACATTTTCTTGATTTTTCAATTTATTTTGTATGTAAAGCAACATTTAAATATTTTCAATCGTTTTAGATAGATGTTTAGCTCTTCTTGTGAATACTGATAAAAACATAAAGCATCCAAAATTAAAATTAAATTGGAATCAAAACAAGGGAATTCCATTTAGCCTACATTTAAGGGTGCCCCTTGGATTACCGCCAAGTTGTTGTTTCATTTATGGTAACCTGAGTAGTTGAATGTTACGGAAACCCTATTATGTTGTAATTGGTTGCGTGATTGTGGTAAATTTGACTGATGTGAAACTATTTAGAATGGTTTATTTTTGTGTTGCATATTGTGTGCTTTGCATCGTAAAATGGCTGTTGGTGGTAAAGTGGGTGTTTGGTGTTATAGAACGAGAGAACACAAGGTACCCACATGCGGTGCCCCATCTCTCCCCCCGCGCTAGGATCGACCCTGCTTCTCAGGGCTAGTCATCTGGTCAGCCTAAGACGGGGTATGTTTTTTGTATATTTTTAAATTCTTTTTTATTGAACCTGAAAAGTACTTTAGCACCTCTTGGGTTTAGGACCTTGCATTTACTATTTCAGTAACACCATAAGTGTAAGTCTTCTGATTGAAGTGTTATTCCACATACTTTATTCATTGCCTTCGTAACATTTTGAATAGTGAAGACATGTCTGAGTAAATCTGGGCATGCCTTACTCGGATTACAATTTAAGGTTGTTTTCTTAAACAATTCCACAATTTTACATTGTCAAATTTCTGCTTCAGTTAAAGGTATTTGCATATTAATGCAACCATCCTAGTAGAGATAGCCAGCATATAACCATTGTTATGACTACCATGCTCATAACAATCCTTCAGTTAAGCATTGTTGCCATTTTCATATGCGTTCCTTTTTGTTGTAGTCCAAGCTCCAAATTTTTTTTTTTTTTTTTAACGAAATCATGATGTTTTTAGCCATAAACTTAATTTTAAAATATGAGCTTGAAGAATTTGGCAGCAATTGAAAAAACTGCCATAACATTTCTATAAGAATATAGAATTTTGCACGAAATTTTCCAAAGGGAACAATGAGGATATCCATTTCCTCGATAGTCACTGTTGTCAAAGACTGCACGAAGCCAATTCTCTGATGTTTTTTAAGCAAAAACAAATCACTGTGTACAATGGGAGAAGAATGGCACAAAAAGATTTGAAGAAGAATGTGTTTTATTTTTTTTTTTTTTTTACGTGTCACATAACCCTTATTTAATTTAAAGATACTACTCCGTTTTGAGGACCGTAAAAATCGTCAAACTATTATTGATGCCAGTGCTGCCAAAAATAACTGTGGCAACCCTAACGCAAGAAAGGAAGTATAATAGTAAATAACTATCTAAAGATTATTGTTTTAATTTAGATTAAAGGTTAATTTCATATAATACTTTTTTATTATTATAATTTATATAAAAAGGCTAAACATAACTGAATGGATTCCTGCATCGCTATTTCGCTACCGAGTTATCGCTAAAGCATAATTTCATCTCGTTGGTTGTTCAAACATAATTTTCTATAATGAATGATGCCTTTTCTTTGAAAAAATCCTATTGCAGACTTTTCGTCATGGTCAGTTCCCAAATTGTTAAATCCATAGGATATCAAAAAAGGATTTAAAAATTAAACTGGTATTTTAATGACGTTTTAAGAAATATAGAACTTACACAATTTGAAATCAGCGCATATGCTAGATTTGGCGCGCTGTTAAATGGCCGTGTTTGCTAGATTTGGCGTGCTGTTAAATGGCCGTGTTTGCTAGATTTGGCGTGCTGTTAAATGGGCGCGTTTGTTAGATTTGGCGCTTTTGCACGTACATTTTCATTGCAATTTTTTATGTTCCTCAAAATGGAATAGTACCAATTTAAATTTGTATTCTAAGCTATGTTTTCTTTTCATATATTCATAATGTTTACCAACTTACAATAAATATTGATAATTTAGAACTCTTTCTTTAAAAAAAAAAAAATGTACGAAAACCATCAACTTGCACCGGATAAGTAACTTTTCATCTGTAAAAAATTATCAAATTGCCTCGATGTGATTGTGTCAATACATAAGTACCTGATTAAATATAAAAATCTCATATATGACAGGACAAAATGAAGTGGGTGTGTTTACTGGTACTATGGTTTTACAGGAATAGTTCCCTCCACAATAACTGTTAAGCTCTATACCAATTTTGATGGAAAACATTCCCGAAGCCGAGGATCTTTCACCATTCTTTTACTGCCATTAACTTTCTTAAGCTGGCGGTACAACTGTAGTAACACAAAATTTACTTGCTCTTAAGCCGGCTATGGTACAACTGCTGTACCAAGCTTTCCATTCTCCTTTTTAGAGTAATTGCGTATCTTTAGATTCTTTGGGTTGTCTAGTTTTCTCTTCAGAGCAGCCTCTGGCTATGTAATGTTTCCCACTTCTTATCTCTTTGGCTAGGTTTTGGCGAAGACCATAGGTTTTGTCTCGCGCCAATGTGCTTGAGAAAAAAACAGATGCTATCTCTCTTTCAATCATTAGAGCTTTTTCTCGTGATTTCTGTGTAACTCGCGCTCTTATTCACTTCTTATAATGGCACCTCGTTTCAAAGGTCTCAGTCAGGACGAAATTAAAAAGTTGCTAAGAAATTTAGAAGACACTTTTGATGATACAGATTTGGACTGTTCAGATACAGAAGAAATATGTTTTAATCAATCTTTTAATGAAGATAAAGTTGCCGATAACTTCAAAAGCAACGCTAATAATTTATTTGAATGGAGACAGCCAAGTGAGCATGACAAAGCAAACATATTGACCTTTACTGGTAAACCTGGCATAAAAACTGAATTTTCAGGAATTCATCTTGCTATTGATTTTTTTTAGTTATACTTTTCAGATGAATTGTTTAAAACGTTAACCATAGAAACTAATCGATATGCTTCTCAAATCTTAGAGTTACGGCCAGATATAAGAGGAAAAAGAAAACATGAAACCGACTGGACGGCAGTTACATCTGATGAGCTTCAGAAAATTTTTGGATTAGTCTTACTCACGGGACATGTTGAAAAGGACAGCATTCGAGATTATTGGTCCACAGATGATTTAATTGACACACCAATTTTTTGTAAGGTAATGTCAAGAGACAGATTTTTAATGATATAAAAATTTTTGCATTTTGAAAACAATAAAGAAAAATCTGATAAAATTATGAATTATGACAGACTGTGGAAAATTCAAAAGTGTTTTATCATTTAAAAACAGCTAATAAACTGATTTACAGCCCCGCAGAAGAACTCGCGATAGATGAAATTATTGTCAAATTTAAAGGGCGAGTAATATTTAGACAGCATATCCCAAAGAAACGCAAGCAGTGGAGTATAACATTATACAAGATCGCTGATAAGGAAGGGTACACCTACGATATGGAAGTTTACCTTGGGAAAGATAAATCTAAGGATCCCAACTTCTCAGTGTCTTATAATGTCGTTAAAGAAATAAGTGGCTCTGTTAGAGACAAAGACCATAAATTATTTATGGACAATTTCTTTTCCTCGCCAGAACTTTTTGTTTATTTATTAAATGAAAATAAAATAAATTCATGTGGAAGTATTTGTCTGAATAGGAAGCATTTCCCAAAAGATATAAGCAAAGGGAAATTGAATAGAGAATGAACCACAGTGTGTTTCACAAATGGAATGACAGCTCTACTCTGGAAAGATAAGCGTGACGTTTTCATGCTGTCAAATATGCACAACCCAATGATGTTACAACAAAAATATGGTCTATGTTGATTTAAGCGATCGCATGGCCAATAGTTATACTTCTGACAGAAGAACTTTGAAGTGGATGAAAAAACTATTTTTTCATCTACGACCTAACAGTGCTAAACACGTACATTCTAAGCAAAATAAGTAATATCGAAAAGAATCGCAAAGTTTTTCGCATGAATTTGATTAGAGAGCTGGTTCAATTTTCTGATCTTCAAGCTCATATGCTGTCTCCATCAAGTCGAAAAAAAAAAATGTAAGTATCTATGCTCCCATTTCCCTTTTGATACAAAGAAAAGACGAAGATGTGCTGTTTGTTCTGCAAAAGGTTTACAGCGGAGATCAACTGTCATATGTAAAGCATGTGATGTAGCACTCTGCATAAACTGTTTTGAAGCTTATCACACGTCATTTCAGAAAAACAGTTAAAAAAAACAGCAATAGTTAATTAAATGAAAGCACCTTCCTATAATAGCAAAAACAAAACATTACTAATCTTAAATCAGAAAACAAAATCAGAATTTAATAGTGCATGTCTCTATTAAAGGCCTTTTTATAAGGGCCAAAAATTGAAAAAAAAGAAACTACACTCAGATGATCACAACGAACGTAACGCTGAATATATAACTCTGAATTTTTCATGTGAAAACAACTCTGTTTAGATACTGGTGAATGAGCTATCTGTATGATCCTTTTCGTAATTTTCCCGTTAAAAACGTGAACGTGAGCCAGTTCTGTCAGTCTTTCATGAAACATAACTTTTCAGCAAATAGTACTATTATACTTAATTAAATAATCCGTCTGACGTTTAAGCTTCTTCCCTTACGTCAGTAAATATGGGATTTAGTTACATTGCTACACTCAGTTGTTATGTAGATAAAACTATTGACGATTTCGTTTGATAACAGATAGTTCAATATAGGTTCAATACAAGCGAATAAACAGGGTTCATACGATCTCCCCTCCATGTGTAACATGATTATAATGTCCAAATGTCCTCGACTAAGGTTACATTAATTCAGAACATTAATTAACTCGAGGGCTATCTATCTCTCTATGGGTAGAGATGTTATCGTAGAAGACTTTCTAAGGGAAACTCCCTTGCATTCAAATAATACATTAAGAAAGCCGCGAAATCTCTCATGTTCATGTGGATTTTGATCCAGGTTGAACAACCAGTGTTTAGTAATTTTACTGCTCTTTTATCTGGTGGATTCCTCCATGAAGGCATTCATATTATTATTATTCCTTTTACAAAGTAGGCAAAACTGCTTTTTTAGGGCCTGCTTTAACGCTTGAGGCTTAAATCTAATAAGATGTTACTTTGGCCTTTCTTGCTGCCGAGGTCATAAAACTGTTCAGTAATGTTAACTCCGTTTGAACTTCTACTATTATGCATGCACTTTCTCTCATTTATCCTTTTGTGATTTTTCATTCATTCTTAAGTAAATAAAAAGGAAAAATCCACATGTAACCAACCTGTTCTCTGGGATTTGATTGGCCTTATTTGGTTCGTTCACAGGATTACACCGAAGCACTCGACAGCTATCTGTATAAGGGGAGGGATGCCTTCATCAAGGACTTGCTCAATAAGGCTGGCTTATACCGACGTTACGACAAAAACCATGAAAGCGCCTATGAAGCCTGTGATTCGAGCCCGAGAAAACTACCAGTCTTCAGCCACTTTAGCGCTCTCCGCTGGTGGCCCGTAAAAAGTAAACCAGAAAAATGATTGAAATAACTGATTTAATTTTGTAACTTATGTTTATCATTCGGCAATACATAAATTAAAAATTTTAGGTGACTGTGAATAAACTATATTGCAGTTTTCTCCAATGTTTCATATTACGGATTTTTCGATGTTTCATTTTACGATTTTACATGGAATTGCAGCACTATGCATTTATTTCGCTCCGTTCATCATTCTAATTCTTTATTCTGCCAAAGAGAAGATTTCGCACTTTAACAAAAAGACACATAAGAGGATACTTTATGAAAAATTTGTTGGAAACAATTTTCTTAATTTTGCTTTAAAAATATTATGGATAATCGTTTTGATCACTGAAAGAAATATGAAAAACATATTTCCTACACTGTAAATGTCAATAACCTGTATGCCCTTATTCTCTTAAAAGTATGAAAGATTAATCTTTTTAAATAAATTAGAAAATTTATTATGTTTATTTATTTGTATTTATTATTTTATTATATATATGTATATCCTTTCACTAAAATCAAGGAAAATCAAGCTTTGGATATAACGATGGTTTTTGAACGAAATCCGCCTACTAAAGAAATTGACATAGAATTCGTTATAGACATTTAAAACTGTTTTTGAAAAATTTTTTGATAATTTATATTTTCTAAAATTTTAAATCATACATTAAAATTCTACTCAACAAATATTAAACAGAAGCCTAAAAGTGTTTTCTCTGTCTCTTTCTACGAATACCACGAAAATGCAAAGATTTAAGAAATTATCTCATCAGACTTCACTTCACATTGCAGCTATAAAATGGATTGCATATATGGGTATTCGGAGAATTTTTCAACTGCTAACGTAAACAAAATCCAGTTGTATAAAGAAAATTCTCTCTACAGATATACCTCCTTTGCCCGATAGTCCGAAGTAATATTTGTTAAAAATTATATAATCAAATGCAACTAATATATCTCTGATTTTCTTTTTTATATTACAATAATGTAATTATGAAAAAAAAAGTTTTAAAGCTTTATTATTGGTATAAGTTCATCTCAAAATCTAATAGTAATGAAATCATATTCTAAACAGTATTCTAAACTGTAAACTAACAGTAATGAATATTATTAATTGAATTCATTAGATTATTATTTTCATTAAAAATTATTCATTATTACTATTATTTTATTAATGAAAATAAATTATCAAATATTGCATTTCGTCCTGCAGGCATACAAAGCTAGTTCATATTTGTTATATTTTGTCATGTTCTGTTCTCTTTTCCTAATTTCTAGTAAAAACAAAGAATTCACATAAAATTCACAAATTATTACCGAGATTGATCAGAATTAGTAAATGTTATATATACATTGTATACATTTTGCTCTTAATAAATAAAGCTTAGTTTAAATTAGGTCAAAATAAACCTCAAATATAGTAACCTATTCTAGACTATTGTCCAGCCTGCAACAAGCATGTAAATTTTACTGCATCTATGAAGGGGACAAATGACCACCCTAATGACTTTTCTCATTAGGGAACAGTAAAGGAGGGGGAAACAGTGTTTTGGATCTTGCAGTCCTGAAGGTTATATTATGAGAATTTAAGCCGGGTTTTAGAAGGTTAAACCTCTCTTTTGATTCACTACTATTTTAATCCCATCATGCCACACAGACACTGAAATGAAATACACCCATATGCAGTCAGGTCGTAAATTTAGAACCCCTTTTTTCCTGGGGGGGCTGAAAAGTAGGGGATAATCTTGCTCCTGCTCTTGACAAAATGTGGGGGGTCGTTTAAAAAAATCTAACTTATCTACATTCAGTTTTATACAGAGGAAAATACAAATTGAATTCTTCGAATGAATGCAATTTTGTACAATGAAAATGTATTACTTAATGATAAACTGTAAGATAAATAACATTTTTTTTTTAAAGCCATAGGTGTAGAAAGGACAGATATTTGTTACACGAATGAATTTGTAGTAAATATTGAGTTTTTCATTTCGAATGCTATGTTCCATGTATGCGAAGTAGCTGAGTATGTGAGATAATAGTCAAAACCGAATGGCTTTCAACCTTTTCACGGCTAAGGACTGTTTCTCAATTACAATGTGGTCGCTGCTTTTTAGTTAATTTTCTAATGACATATAAACAATAGTTGTTTTTATTTGAGACTTATGAATAAAATAACGCAAACTAGACTGCAGAAAATTCTTAAGATTGAAGTTAAATAATACTGAAAAATTTTGTGTTTTATATGTAGTAGTATTAACTACTACTATAATCCTTAAATGGAATCCTTAAATTATATATATCTATGTATAGGTATATATAAATGGAATCAAATATAGAACAAGGTATAAAATATTTTTATTATACAATGTTATTACCATATACGTATATTTACGTAATATCAATATAAATAGTTAGTTAGGTTTCGTACATATATAATTTATTTTTATATTGTTTTTTTGTATTAGATTCAGTATTGTATACGTATCTGACGTTTAATTTGTTCTCTTTTTGGGTTACGACTTTAAGTAAGAAAGAATTGTTAGGGTCTTCATAGGGATTACATTATATACAATCAGTTAGGATCCGACTTTTCCTTTCTTTTAATCATTATATATATTGAAATACTACTTGATAAGTATACATAAAATATAGTAGTTTTTTAAGCTACTTATTTATATATCTATTGTTTGGTCTGGTTTGTTTGATTATAGCAAAGCATTCGACGGTTATTTGCCTCGTAGAGAACTTTCTAAGCAAAACTGACTCTTATGCACGTTACACGTGGGGAAAGCCTCGAAAACGCCAATACAGCTGATCCGGATTCGAACCCCGTATCGACCTGCCAGAGTTCAACGACTTTAAGCTCAGCCGCTAGTGAGCCCCCCCCCACACACACACATCCACACATATACATTAAATAGTATTTACATGTCGTTTATAAAGTATAATTGAGTGCAATTTAATCATAAAGAGTTAGAAAATATTTTACGGAATTACTTCACTTCGTAGACGTTTTTTTAAGCTTCACCATATTTCTTAAAGAGAATCTCAATGCTAGTTCCATTTCCAAGCTGTTTATGTACCTTATTTTTCATGCTTTGAATTATATTTAGAAAATTATTTCACTTGGTTATAGCTGAAAATGCAGTTTTTTTATTGAAGAATTTAAGGGTAAGAAGAGAATTATGTCCTTTTCTAATTATTCTTGAAGCATTTAAATTTAAAAAAAAAAAAAAAGGGGCACATTAATACGGATCACTGAACTAAAGTGCTCGATACAGGACAGATTAATTAGCTACTAAATTTTGATTTTCGTTGAGTAAAAATGAATTCATCTGCATTCTATAAGAAAGTAAATATTCAAAAAATGTTTTATTTTCCTATTCTCGCAGTCATAATATTATTCTTAAATATTCAGCTAATTCATATTCAAATATTCCAATCCACTACAATAAGTAATAAATCGATACAGTAAATAAATAATTAAAATCAATTAAATGGAATTTTTAATTGATTTTTAATTGCCATTTTCCCTCTGATAAACCCCTCTTTAGAGTTTCAATAGCAGTCGATCAGCTTTGTTAGGGTTCATTTTTCTTTATGGTATGCTTACGTTATATATGTATGTATTATGCATTGCTCATACTTGTCAGTTGCAGCTTTTAATATCTTTTGGAAAAAAATCAATATGAGAATCCAGAAAATGATTCTTAGCGACGCTAAAACTATTATTACTAGGCACTCTCATGCCATAGTGTTTAAAAAAAAATCCCATTGTTTAAAGGTAGATTCTATGCTCATATTTTAGTCTAAAATTAAAAGATGCGAGTCAAAATTAAGGGGGTTGCCCTTAGAAAGCCTCAATTAGAAGTAGTTATATGAAATGTTAATCAATACTTATAATTTTACGGATTAAACACTTATTCCCTATTTGATCACGTGTATGGCAAACAGATATTCGTCATTCATAAAGAAAAGAAAGGTGAATCAAAATGAGTTTTCAAGGCCTTTTGTATACATTAGCAATACTTATTCTCGTAATAACAGATACGTACATGTGTTATTCCTCTTCGTAATTTTCAGTACATATATTTATATTTATAATTAAGAAAATCTTTTGAAAGCAGCGTCAAACAGCTGTCAAAATTATATTTTAAAATTGTTATTTAGAAATGCGCTTATAATGGTTTTTTATATTTACGAAAGATACTTCCCGTTTACTCAGGCTCACTGTATTCAAGTCGATAGGACCAATTGAATGGAAAGATCGATTTCTTAATTCATTTCCAAGTTTCAAATCGGAGGAATGGACTCGCGAATAAAATGGCACATTAAAATACGGTCACTGAACTACAGTGAGCTATGAAAATTTTAACAAAGGTTTCGTACTTTATCTTATGAAAACAAAATATCAGAATCTAATTAAATGTTTCACTTATTAGAAAAATAGAAAATATAAATATTTGTGAATAAAAAGAAAATTATCTTTAAAAAAAAAATAAAATTTAAATGAAAAAAATAAAAGAATTACAAAATATTGCAGAAATTACATAAAATAGCGAATAAACTTATTCGGCACAAGCTCGCTAAATATAAAACAGATTGTACAGTCAGAAAGCTCGCCTTGTCACAGAAATATACTGTTCATCGGGTTTAAAGGTTATTCAGACTAAAGTGCGAAGTTCAGTGAGTAACTTGTATTTTCCTTTGAATGTATAAACTAGCCAAAAAATTGAGCACTTGACAATTAGATGCAAATTTAACAGATGGGAGCACTTGACAATTAGATGCAAATTTAACAGATGGATTGAATGAACCCTACTGCAACGTACCACTTTGTGTAAGCATTTTCGTGGATTTCCTTAAGGTATGTAAATATGAGCCCATTTTCCTTAGAAAATTCTCCATGAAATCATACCTAGCCAACCCTCATATGTTTTGCCATATTCAACACAAAATCATTCTTAAGATGATTAATTAATTTTATGTTAGATGATACGAAGCTTTTCAAAAACTAGGATGCTTTCCGTAAACAATTAGTATTAATAAGGGCTGTTCAACTGGAATTAGGTTGGATTATTTGTTTATAGCAGTGCTTTTCAGCCGACTTACATGTACCTGTATGTATTGCTCAGAGGGGGGTGGAAGGAAATTCCTGAACGAAAACAATGTAATAATGAAATGTTAATAAACAAATAAATATAACTTTTCGTATCTTATGTAATTTGTCACCATTCTGATACCATGTGCATCATTTATTTCTGATATACTGATACTGAATGAGACCTAAAAACAATTTTTGTTTTAAATATATCTCCCCTTATGATCCCTAACACAGCCCTTTACTTTCCCCTTCCGTAATTAACGTCAGTCTCCTGCTCTTGACCGCATTTGCCATGCCACCACTGAAATATCATCAGACGTGGTGGAAATTCATCTATAACCATGTTTGTATCAAAGTGAGGTATATATACTTTGCTGATTATAATTGTTAATTATAATCAGATGATAATTATTATCTGTTAGTGCATTTCTGGATGTTAGTTATTAGTAATTAGATGTTGGTTACATTACCTGTAATTAATTTCTCATTTTCTTCTAGCTCACTTTTTTGCAATTTGACTTTAGCTTAGTTAATTTTTTTGTTTGGAGATATTCAATTACTTTAGACATGCCCATTTTACTTGAAGTAACTTATCTAGGATTATTCATGCCAATATATATTAGAGATGCATTCTGACTTTCACTTGGAATTTTTATATATGTGTATTTATAAAAGCATTCCTTACATACACTTTTTCAGTTATTGAAAAGACCCCCTTTGTGTTTGCATTTGTTGAAAAGAATTTGCATAAATATTCTTTATCTGATTTTTTTTTTTTTTTTTTTTTTTTTTTTTTTTTTTCAGTATGGAAACAATGGAGAATCAGACTGAAGATACTTTAGTATGTATTGCCATTTGCTAATCTATTCAAACATTTTCTTAGTGCATTACTTTTGAATAATTCCCCCCCCCCAATTTTTTATTTCATAAGGAAGCATTTTTCATATCATAAGGATCTCAGATTTCAACATTTGTTAACTTCATGGAATCCAATCCATATCATCACTGCAAATTTGTGGTTTTTCAAGAAAGTGCATTTAGAATTTTTCCTTTGTTTAGTTTTGAGAAAAACTTTTTAATATCTTCAGTGTAATATTTCATTTAGTTTACTGTATAGATATTAAGAACATAACCTAGAAGTATATGTATATATTTTTAATTTGCTTTTAAAATTTCATATGTAGATTCCATTTTTATGCCTAAAATAAGCTGTCAAAAACAGCAATGCCAAATGGTTTGAAAAGTGTGATGTTATTTCATTGTACATTAACATCTTGTGGAGAATTTTTCGCTTATTAATGAGAGTCATACTAAGAGGATATAAAAGTTAATTAACATTTTTTATTAAATGACACAGATCATTCAGCATCTAGAAGTTGCTGGAATTACTCTTCTTCTGAGTAAAAGTATTACTCAGCCTAATCTCCATTAAGAACAATGTATTTACACCCTTATTGAATCCAAATTTCAAATCCTCTGCGGAAAAATTCTGATATGCACTATTGTAACCACTTCTTTGCAACCATTTTCACTTCATTTATGTCAGCAAATCCTTTTCCCCATAGACTATCTTTTACTAGACTGAAGAAGCAGAAGTCTGAAAGTGCAATATCAGGTCTGTACAATGGATGGGAAATCGCTATCCAGACCAGTTTACCGAGTGTGTGAATTACTGCCAATTATGTTAGAGGGCATGCTTTTTTAATAGTGAATGTTGATCATGTTAAGGTTTAGGATTGGTTTCTTTTTTTCAAATGGCTTCTAGCAGCTCTCTGGCTCTGTCAGTAGTCATGTGGTTAAGACTGCTGAATACAGAGTTCATAAGATTCTTAAAAGTCCTTAGATTTTTTGAAAATGTATTTTGGTCTTTAAAAGTCACTAGTTTTGGTCGAAACCCACGAAAGGTCCTTAATTTTACTCATCAGACATCTCTGCCTGTTTTTTTATGACTGCCATTTTGAGCGGGAATTAATATATTGGAGGAGTATTCTTTGGCTGTGCATTGACAAATATGTGTTTGATGGGTTAATCTGTGAATTCTTTCCTACTTTATAATATAAATTGTGGATACTTGGAATTATTATATTTCCTAATATAAATTGTGGATACTTAGCAGGAGGTTCTGCATCAATTAAAACATAAACATTTTGAAATAATTCCTTTTTTCTAAATGAAGAGCTAATAAAATATTACATCAAAAACAACTTTTCCCTTTTGGGGATATGAATTTTTTCATTATGCAGTGCTTATTATCATTTTGCCGATTTCAAGATCAGCTTGTATACAAAAATTTTTATTTGAAGATCTGCTAAACTTTGACAATTTTTTTTACAAACATTTTAATCATCTTGCATTGATAAGTATCATAAAAATAATGATATTATATTAAGATAATACTTAAGAAATAACATTGAAGTAAAACAATTTTATTTTCTCGTGTCGTACTCTAAAGTGATATTACTTTCCACTTTTATAGCTTTTTAACATTTTGATTCTGAAAAATTAACAAAATAAATAAATGGTGTGAAGCAAAGTTTTTGAAACAGCTCTGTAATTATTTTAAGATTAGTTTCATTTCTCTTTTTATATATTTTTTCATAAGAGTTTTTTTCCTATTTACTTGGTTCAGTGTGCATCAGTTTTCTCATGAAAATTCACTTTTTTTCTGAACATTAGATTATGTTTAATTAAAATGCATCCTACTTACAGATTTATTTTATTCTTACAAATTACAAAATTGAAGTTCAGGTCTAGATTAATTACTTTAATTTATTCATTTACTATCTACTTAATATGTCCTTCAGCATAAGTTTGGATCCAGGTGAATGGTTGGGCTGAATGCTTAGTTTTCATGATTTTCCCCATGTGTAACATGAATATGAGCCAGTTATCCTTAGAAAGTCCTCCACAAAGGCATTTCTTAGGCAAATAGCTCTTCTTCTCATTGCAATATTTAAATAACCTAATCTAAACTTGCGACTTTCAGAGCGTATGAATCAATTTAAAAATTTTAAGTGCTAGTTTGCTGCTTAAGCAATACTATTAACTACAGTGTGGCAATAAACAGCCTAAAAAAATATTGCAGTTCATTTTAACAGTTATGTCACAAAGCTAAAAATATTTTGGGATCCACTGCTGACACACTGATGTGAAGTGGCCAGATCCCACCGTTTGTCTGGATATGCTATTTGCTTATTACAGTATGGTCAAATCAAGAAGTATGTTGCCTCTGTGTCCACATTTTTTTTTTAAATTACATTTGACCATAGCTCACTTACGCACAAATCTCAGAGAGCCTGCCTAAATCAATTGAATCATCCATTGAAGATTATTGTCTGTAGCTGTAGTTGATGATGTTCTACTGTATAGTTTGCCATCAGTGCTGATTCTAGTGGCTATTCATTCTTCATCTATCTATGCACATTGCTCTTGTTTCTTTTCCTTAACACATTTTATAACCTTTGGTAGATGTCAGACAGACTGTAATATTCTTTTGTTGAGAATTTTGGGATGGCATTTTATTTGCATTTTATATCCATTATTTACTTACATTTTATATCCATTATTTACTTATATATATATTACTTATAATTAAAAAAATTGTTACTATGCACATTGTATAGCAAAAAAAAAAAAAAAAAATCACATGAGTTTTAGTAATGACACAAACCATGCCATATTTTTGTAATGACATAATAATTTTTGTAATAACAAGTAATGACATATTTTTGGTAAACCATGCCATTTAAAGTTAGCTCTACTTTTAGGTTGCTTTCAGTCTGACTCGTAATAAGGAAAAGAATTGCTTAAGACGTGACTAATTAATTTATTTCACTTGCTTGCACATTAGGCTTGCAACAGATTTTTCCTTCTAATGACAATATATTTTAATTTTGCGTGTATACAAATACTGAAAATACTTGCTGGAATATAAATACTGAAAACACTTGCTGGAATATAAATACTGAAAATAATAAACATTTCTTCAAGATGTTTTAATCAGAGTTGCAAGATTTTACTTGGATAAAGATTTTACTTTTATGTAAATTAAAAGGTTTCAATTAGCAAAATTTTTAGCATTAATTTATAATTGAGATTTTTGGGATTTTAGCTTTTCAGAATTTCAAATTAATGAGAGTTCACTGTACCTTAAAAGTTTTTTAAGCTTCAAGTAGTTAAAATGTATTTAAATGAGAAATAATAAAGATGAGGAGTATATATGTAAGATTAAAAAATATGAAAACTTCCAAGTCCTCTTAGGCAGATAGCCCTAGTGTGCTTCGTAATAATCAACTAGGCCAAACTAATGTGCTTGAAACAGTTATAAAATTATCAATAATTTAAGTTTCAGTGGCGCTAGGCCTAATGAGGCCGCCATTAGTTTACACCTGTTGCTAGTCAGAGGAGAATGTTAACGAGTAGCGCATGCTCATTATATAAGTGGCGCTGAATCATCTGTGTAAAACTGTTTCTTCTTTTTTTATTCGTTTAATGTTTTAATACATCGTTTTAGATTTATTATAGTATTTGAATAGAACTTGTAGCAAGGATTAGATCATTCTTCAGATGATATAATTTTTGTGCATTCTGAGTTATAAAATGAATGAGATGTAACGCGGCTGATATACGAGCAATATTTGTCATAGAATGGATGATCGGAACGACAGCGAGCTGCTAAGTAAGTGAATGGTATAAAAAGGGTTGATCCTCGTACGCAACGGCATTTTATACCGTGGATTGTCGAGAGGATTGCTGCTTATACAAACCATGAAATTCCAAGAATTAGTTGAGGTGGTCCCATAGCTCACCCACCAAGATCGCAGGATCTCTCGTATTTGATGCCAGATATTCTGAGTTGGGGAAATATGTAAAGTTTCTTCAATTAGTCGTCAACATCATATTAGAATTTGGGTAAGGGAAGTTGGGTAATATCATTTGGTGTATCATTTCTTAGTTATACGTGAAGTTGTAAGTTAAATTCACTCTTTAGCTACTTGGGCATGATATCAGAATTAGCTGGTTAATTAGTTCTAATATGACTCAACCTTGTGTATCATGAACTTGTTATAAAGCTATAAAAGTTTGTATTGTATTATTTATTTCTCCCTTTCTCCCTTTTGTTACTGTTCAATAATTTGCTTTTTATCTCTAGATGCAGGAAGAACATGCTGAAGTACATGATACTCCTGAATTAAATTCCAGTGATATTCTTAACAGTAAAAAGGAAAAACGTAAAAGGTAGCAACTTTCATTCATTTTTTTCAAAAGGCATTCAGGTTTTGTTTTGAATGCAGGTTTGTAATAGTTTTAATGTGTAGCTGTATTTTTGCAGCCTATTAAAAGAAAACAATTTGTGTAATTATTAGAATTTGTGTAAAAAAGATTGCATAAATGCTAATGTATTAGAAAGTTATGTACTATTGCTTACCATTCTTTGTATAATGCCTGCTGTTATAAAATATATTTAAGATACTGTGAAAAATAAAAATTTTATGATAATAAAAGAATTGAATTTCCCTTTTGTCTAATACACTCCAATCCACTCCCATTATTTTGTCCAATCCACTCCCATTTATTTAAAATTGATACTAATGTAATAACTAATACTAATGCAGTATAACAATAATAGTAATAATAATTGTTCAGAGGGAACTATTTCAGATATCCTTTAAAGCTGGTTATTTTAATGTAACTCTTCATTGTTATAATATTTATATGTTCATTATTAATCATGTTCTTTTTTTATAAAATTTATTTTTATTTTCCTTTCTCTTTTACTAGAAAGGTGGTTCAGAGATCTGAGCCAAGCCTTAATATCACAGAATTTGATTTAACTGAAAGTAAGTGAAAACGATTATTCATTGCTGAAAAACCTTCAATTATCTTTTACTTCGTTAAATTTATTGGTACTTACTTGCTATCCCATCAACCACAAAAATTGGTGAATATCATGTCAAACTTCCATCAATCATTCCAGCGGAAGTTTAAAGGAATAGATCACTGTTTATTTAGTTAGGTAATTAACAGACATAAATTATGAATATAGAATATAAAAACCTTAAATAAACAAGATTTGAGAAACAAATTCATTAAAACTTGCACTTGCGGTTAAAAATTCCTAGTTGCAGTTAAAATAGTAACAAAATGGTAATTTTTTGTAAGTTGATGGCACATTAATTTGTTTAAATATAAATCAGACTGTTGTGGAATTTCATAGTGTTTGTTCTTGCACAGTTCTGTTGAACTCTCACATACAAATTTAGGCCAGAGATTAACATTCAAATGTTCAAATTCTACACTCGTAATTCATTAATTTTGTTGTAGCCCTTCTTAGAATCTGAAAAATTTATAAGTCTTATCTTCTGTATGTTCTTATATTCTACTTTGCAAAACTAAACTGAGTTATTGAGGATTAACCAGACTAACATAAAACCAAGATCAAATCAAGATGTGTTATGATGTTATGCTTTCTGTTATTGGTACTAAATCACACTGTTCAATGACAATTTTTATCTGTTGAAAATAGTCGATGGAAAATATTGTAACTAGCAGTCTTGACAGGGGGGAAAAAAATGACTTTGGAAGTTTTTATCTAATTTTAAATTGATTCAAAAAGCAGCTTAAATAAAATTCTTAATAATAAATAATTCATAAAATCATTGTTCAGTAGAATGATTCATATCTGTTAAAGAGAATGATTTCACATGCTGTGATTATTTAGTCTTTTCGGGATGGGATTTCCATTATATTGGCCTTAGTATTTCCCTGTTTGAAAGGGTCTACTTAATATTCATATCTTCACTCCCATTTCCCAAGTTGGAAGGGTGGGCTGAACTGTTAAGTTTGATGGAATCTTAACGCTTATCACTTTCAGAGATCTTTGTGTTAAGGATCCGGTTTTCCATATCAATCCCTTTTTAGTCTTGCAGCTTCAGACTTTGGATAACCTCATTTGTAAATCATAAATAGGGCCTTGTATTTCTTTGGAATATTCCGTATCTTTGGAAGATTTCTTGGGGTTATTTTGCTTCATTTTATAGCTATATTATGAAATGGAAAAGACAACTGACTGAAGAAAAAATGTGGAAGCTTCTACAAGAGTTTCTGAACTGCTAAATTATATAACATCATAAAACACAGAATCATAATACAAGGTACTGAAGATAGCAACTATCTATCTTCTAACTTATTCTTTCAAAAACTATATATTCTGCACAATTTCCCATTCTGGTTTGAAAGCTTTTTACTGTAAGAAAATTGCAATAGGAAATATATGAACAATGTATTGAAATAAGTCACTAAACACTTCATATTTTAAATTCTTGATAGTTTTCACTCAAATTTATAATGTTTATTTAGACTTCAAATTTTAACTTTTCTGCAATTTAAATTTTAACATTTTCATACAGTTTAAATTTTTAGTCATTTTCAGTGGCATTATTTTTTTATTTTTTTAATCATTCCTTTTCACGGGAAAATGTATAAATAATTCAAATACTTTTTAATAAAACATACAACAAAGCAAACTAAAAATTACAAAGTATATGACAGTAAGTAACTTTTCTGTTTTTTTTTTTTTTTTTTTTTTTTTTTTTTTTTTTTTTTTTTTTTTTTAATTTTATTTTTTATGAAGGCCATTAATGTTTTTAAATTTAAGAAAATAAGTTTGAGAAATCAATGAGAAAAAATTTCAGATGTATTAAAAAAAATTAGATGAAACCTGATAAATTAAAAGATTTAAAAATCTATAAAATAATGAAATATAGAGGAGTTTTATAACATAATTTTAAAATAAAAAAATATAATAGAATTAATTTTTTTAGCACCGAGTTTGGTAGGATAAATTAAAATCATTATTTAAATTAATAAAATCATTATTTAATTTTTTTAAAAAAAGCTATAATATGGGGCAACAGTAATGACATTTTCTGTAATGGAAATTAACATTCTCTTCTAAATATCCCTGAGTAGTCTGATATGGAATCAACTTTAAATTTTTCCTCCATAAATAAAAGCATATAACAGTTTAGTTGATAGTTTGTACATTTCCCTTCCCTTTGTGGCCCACCAGCGGCCGAGCGGTAAAGTCGCTGAACACAGGTAGTTTGGTCCGAGGTTTGAATCCCGCGAACGGGCTGGCTGCATGGGTGTTTTCGTGGTTTTCTCCATGTGTAATGTGTATATGAGCCAGTTTCTCTTAGAAAGTCCTCCACGAAGGCATCCCTCCCCTTAGGCATACATTCCTTGAGGCTTTGCCGTAATTGAATAACCTAACCTAACCTAACCCTTCCCTTTGATTTTAAGATCTTACAGGCATCAAGTCTCCGACCCTGAAAGGTTAATTAGTGCAACCCTTGATTGCTTACTAAAATTTATGTAAAAAGAAAGTTTTAAAATAAAGGATTTATACTATCATGTTACTGTTGTATGCAGGTTTATATTTTTTATAATATCATAATATTGTTTAAGTAATTTTGTGTATAGTAATTAATGTATAGTTTCCATTGAATTTGGTTTAGTTATTTAGGGAATATAGCATTGTGTAACATAATGTGTACTTATCAAAATCAAATGACCATAAGTCTGCTTTGAAAAATTTCCATAAATACAATGAATGACATGTTTGCCAAGAAACTTGTGAAGGAATTTAAATAAAAAAATAAATATGTAATGTTTTTTGAAAAATAATTTAATTATTTTTTGAAAAAATTTTGATGTTTAAAAACATATTTATAAACTATATCATTGGGTGTTGTAAATCACTACTTAATTTCTTTTTCTCTAGTTGGTAAAGAAAAGGTGAAATTGAAAGAATTAATTAAGACCTCTCGAAACAACAGTGGACAAATGCTTGTGAAAAAACAGCTTGAAAATGCAAAAAAGTTGAAGCGTCTTTCAGTTCCTCTCAGCAAACCACAATTAGAAAAGGTATGCACATACATATGTGTTAAAAATTTTAATCTTCCTTTTTATCTGTTCTTAAAAATCCTTAACTCTTTTTTTTTTTTTTTTTTTGCTTTTCTTTCAGATAAAAAGAACTGTTGCATATGAGAAAGTTTGTAATGAAGTTTCTAAATGGGATCCTGTTGTTAGAAGTAATCGTACGGTAGGCATCTTTTTTGTTGATCGTATCTTTTAGTTGGTAGTAATTTTTAATTTTAGATTTTTTTTAGAAAGTTATACATTTTCAAAATATTTCTTTTAAGGCTAAGAAAGATTATGAATTATTAAATGTTTCTCCAGCTTAAAATTGTTTTCATCACAGATAACATTCTACGAGCAAAAATTTTATCCTTTGTAACTTTTTTCAGTTAACAATATTATGTGAACAAGTTACAGCAAGGGCAGAATACAAATTACATTTATATATGTCCTTCAGAATGTTAATTGGATATTTTATTTTTATTCTAAATTGATTCAATTAATGTAGAATATCTAATCTAAAACTATCCTTGTGTATAAAACCTTTTGGAATGTTGTGATTGTTTAGTGGTTTATTACTACAAAATGTCCAACTGTCAGTTTTACTTCAAATGCTGATCAAAGGATGAGCACCAAATTGCTACAAAAATATGATTTTAAGGAATTCTACAGATTTGCACCTTCTGTCTCTTATGATTAGGAAATAAAAACCATTTTCTGTTCATTGTGCTCAAAATTCATATCAGACTGCATGGTTTATTTGAATAAAAAGCCTCCTTGCATTTAAATGATAATATTTTTTCTTATTCATGTGCTTTGCATAAACTAGTCTTCTTCCCTTCATGACCAGATAATTTCTTCATGTTATATCAATTTTAAGTCACTTTTTTAAATGTATTTATTTAAAAATCAATAATGGGAATATTTTGAAATTGCATACAGTTTCAAATGAATGTGACATTTGTATTACTGAGTTTAATTATTTTTTGTTTTTTGCCATTTTATTTTGTCACCTTTTTATAGTTTATTTTGTTTTCATATTTTTCTCTCTTAGGCTGATCAGATTGTATTCCCTTTGAAAAAGGAAGAATTACGCCTTGAAAGTCTTGATAGAGTTTCTGAAAACTTTGTGGTAAGTTGTTACTTTTTTATGATATGAAACCTAATATGTATAGTAGAAGATAAAAACTAATATATATTATGTGTTTATTTCTACAGTAAAAGGTATTTGAAAGCTGCATTATGATGATCCAAAAGTTAAAAAAAAAATTCAATAAAAGCTATATATATATATTATATGTCAAGCAGGGCAGTAATTACAATGCAAGCTTACTACAATTTCTATATATATTATATGTACATACATGCACACCCTGTGTAAGGATAGTGAAAAGATGTACATTAATCAAGCTTATATCATAAAATATGAAATCATAATAGAAATTTTTCTAACAATGTTTTCAATCAGCAGTAGATATTAAAATATCTGAGCGAGTTAAAATTATGAAATTAAAATATCTAATTCTATATCCATAGCAGTTTAATTAATTCTCTATTAAAAACTGCCCCACTATTGGCTGAGTGTTTAAGACCACTGAATTTTGGGAGTTCGATCCCAGGTAAACAGGCTGGCTGCGTGGGGTATTTTATTGTTTTCAACTGTTTAACATGAATACATTACAAATTTCCCTGAGAAAATCCTCTGTGAAGGCATTTCTTAAGCAGACAGCCCTTGTATGCTTTGCCACATTCAAACAGCTGAACCAAATCTATGTTAAAAACTCTTATCATTATTCCATGATTTGTATTATAAAATGTGAATAATATGCTTTCCCGATAAAAGTGGCAATAGGTTTATATAAATTTTTAGGAATTGAAAAATTCAATTCCATGAAGGCCAAAGCTTTTTGTTTTTTTTAATACGATGTCCTATATGTATATATCTTCCATAACCTTAATTTTTAGAACTATTTCCTTTGAATTCTGTGATTAGGAGAATGACTTCTCGAAGTGGAAGAAATCTGAAGATTATGTAAGTGTTATTATGCCTCTTAAAGGCTAATAATTAATTCAAGTAAACAATAAACTATTTTAAGGAATATATAAAAATGTAAAGATATAAATAAAACAGCATATGAATGATCAGATTTGTTAATGAGAAAAAATATTTTTGCTCATTTACAAATTTAAAGTTGTTGAAGAAAGTTTTGAATTTTAATTTTGTTGAATTTTTCATTATGAGAGTTAATTGGAGTCTTCTATTAGATAGAGTTAGTTACATTGTGAAAGATTAATCTCTAGTGTTTTAGTATGAAAGTTTGAATCTGTAGATGCAGAATTTTTCCTTATGATAATATAAAATCTTTGAGTTAAATGTACACAATTAAAATTGATAGACCTTCAGTGTACTTTTTTTAATCTTCCAGTTTTATTCCATGTTATGTTTAACAAAATATATTACCTTGAGAATATATTGGTGTTTAAATCATTCATAAACCATTTAAATTATAATACTTTAATACTACATATTGTGCATGGTATGTATATTTTTTTTAATTTAAAAATTTGTTTAGGATTATGGTATTATTGTTATTATTATAGACAAAGCACCCGGTTGAAGTAGCTGTTTCAGAACTTCTACAGAAGAGTGAAAATATTCTGGATAAAGAAAAAGTACTTACTCCTGCAGAGGAAAAAGCTCTACAAGCAATGAGTTTAGAAGAGGTAGCTTATTTCATTTAAATATGTTACATATGTTATATTGGGGACTTTTATTAATTTGCTGTTTATTTTTCTTCTATAAATTGTTACAATAAATTCAGTAATTAAAATTTTGTGCTATCAGTTTACTTTTGCTACTGTCTCTGGTCAACTGAGATTTCTTGTTTATATAGTGCGCTAATAATAATTAACAATGAATTGAGAAGTTAGATATTAAGATAGTAGTAGCAATTAATAATGGTTCTCTTCTGTTATCAGTACTTTATTCAGGAATGTAAGTATGTATGCATGTGTGTGTGTGTGTGCATGTATGTGTGTACACAAATATACATACTTATGTACATATGTAAACTGCGCAAAAAGGGGAATATCTCCCGTTCTACTGGGCCGATTGACGAAATTCATAATAACGTAAGAACTTAAAAATAATTTACTTACATTTGAATGTGATATCATTTGTATTTTGCAAATAATAAGATTAATATTTTATTTTCTTAACAAATTTATTATCAATATTCATTCATTTCTGTCGTTTTTCATGCCCAAAATGGTAAAATAATGGATGTCGTAAAAAATACAATGCGTGCATGCTCATGTAAAATTGCCAAGCGTGCGTGCTGAAAGGTTAAGGAAAGAGATTTGCTCTTGAGTATTGACATCTTTGATCTGCTTCTCAAACATCAAGAAAATACTCAATTTTTTAAGTGAATCATAATTGGTAACAATAAATAAATTGTTTTACAAAAATGTGGAAGGCAAATGATCATGGAGTAGAAGAGATGAGTGGCTCAAAGCACTTTGAAAGCTAATATTAAACAAGCAAACAACAACAAAAAGAAAGGATGCTTTCTGCTTTGTGGGATTTTGATAGAATTTTCTTTCCCCCCTTTTTTTAAACTTTTACCAGTCAGTTCCACAATTAATTCAAAATGTGTACTACCATTAATTGGACGAATTGAGTGATATCATTAGATAGAAAAGGTGAAGTATTTTACCATGATATTACTAGATTTCAGCCAAGTTTAATAATTCATCAGAAGCTGGTACTAAGCATAATCTAAAAAATGAAGCCTGTGAATGGCTGAAAAGTTACAAAGTAACTAAGTAGGAAATGGAGAGAAATGGGGTATATAACTAAGATTAAATAAAAAGAAAATGGCTTAAATTTATCCAAAAGTTAAAAAGTCAAAACAATATTACCCTAAGAAGATTCTTCAAAACTTAATTGTCTTGTAGATAAATACAACAAATGAAACCAATTTCTTATTTAAAGTTTTCAGTTTGATTATTGTTGTAAAAAATAATGTAAATGTCACCAGACTTAATGTCTGCATGTTTTCTATGTAGTATGGTTTTAAAATTGTTTAAGCTGTATTTTAATTAAATATATTGGCATATTGTTCCCTTTTTTATGTAGGCTAAATTAAGGCATAGTGAACTAATGAAGCATAGAGCACTGATATCATATAAAGAAGCTAAAGCAAGGAGGCAAAATAAAATAAAAAGTAAAAGGTATGCCATTAGCTTTAAGTAGTGTTTATAAAGTTTTAATGCTTTTCCTCTTGCCAGAATAGTTTTATTTAAAAAAAAAAAAAAAAAGTTGAGAACATAATATTTATGTCACATTGAGAACTTCAGAATTAACTTTTCCATTTAAAATAAGTAAATAAATATGTAGTTGAAACTAAGCAATTTTACTGGAAGATTGAAAAGTTTGAAATATATTTTGGTTCCATAAACTATTGCAGTAGTTGAAATGTTGGTCATGTATGATTGCAGCACCTGTTGGGGGGTGAGCATCACTGCAGATTATTAATGGCATGTTATTTTTTCTGAATGTCACTGATAGTCTCAAAGTAAATTTAAGTTGCTCTTATAAGTGGTAAAAGAGGCTTCATAGTGTATTGAAGCCCAGATAGTCTTGGTGAGATCTGTACGGTGATAGATTTAAATCACAGCAATATCTTTGATTTTATTTATTAATCTCTTCATAAAAAAGAACTTATTTATTGAATATTACATCCTATTGTGAATTCTAATCTACTATAGCAGTGTTTCTTAATCTTTTTTCAAGTTGGGAAAAGTTTATAATTTTCAAGTTTATAAATTAAAATGTTTTTTAGATTAATTACTTTAGTCCTCTTCGAAAGCAGTTTTTTGTTTTCAGAATACAAAAGTGTGGTATTCAAATGTGCGGCAACAGGATGGCAAGAAGCATCACGGTCATAGTGCTTTAAATTCCTCTTTTGTTGCTAAGAACAGAATAGGAACTCCATAAGTAGAGTAACCAGTAATAAATTTCCTAAAACATCAGCCTTGAGAGAAAAAGTTATAGACAATTTAAATGTGTAATTTCTTAAATCTTGAGATTTTTCAGTTACAGTGTGATGTATGCAGTTAATATGAATATTTTGTTGTTATTTATTTATTAAATTTAAGAGGACTACAAGGGCAGCTTCAAGAACTGCTTCTAGTAACAGATCACAGATTGAGACACAGGATTCTGATGAATTTCTGCCTAATTCATGTTGCAAACTAAAACCATCTATTGGCATCATCTTCTCTTAACTTTAGCTTAAATTGAACCTTCTGTGGATGTTATTTTCTTATATGCAGTAACTAAGAATTAAATTTTGCCTGACTTTTATGTCTAAGAATGTTCAATGCATGCTGTGTTGAGGACTGTTCAATGAAGAAAAGTCGTATATCCATTTCTGTCATTTGTTGCAGTTTTTGCATATCCACTGCAATGTTTATCATGTACCAATCCAACTTTACTTATATTTTTTAATAATTCAGTAAATGCATAGGGGATAATGCTGACTTTGTTGTGTAAAATTTTTTCAAGCTGATCAATTTTTAATGCACAAGAACTTCTTCCACTGTCTCTAAGGATGATTTGAGTTCATTCTTAAAAGGTTGATGTTCCTGGATCATCTGGAATAATTATATAATTTATACAGTGAAAAGTCTTTAATCCGGACTCGTCGGGACTTCGGCGTGATCGCTTTTTCTGGATTATAGATCATCAGTTTAAATCTGGTAAGATGGCATACAAAAATTATAAAATTAAAAATATGAACCGTATTTATGAAATAAAGAGCAATTTATTAAAGGTTATCAAAAGTTACAAAAAAAAAGCTTAATATTAATGTTACTTTATTGGATTTCTTAAGCGGCATGCGAAAATACATTACGCATAGTCGAAATTAGAAATTGCAACAGAAACTTTGATGTGTATTCAGGTATTATAATGACGAGGAATTGATTTAAACATATCAAAGACGGAGTACATTGAGATGAAATATAATTTAGTAGTAATTAAGCCAATAAATAAAAACATCTGCCCTGAAGATAAGGTAGGCTGACAGATCAACTTCAGCATTTGCGTCCGCGTGTTTCTCTCGTGCAGAGCAGCGTGAATTGATAACCAATTCGGAATGGTTAGAGAAAATAGGAATGCTTTACCTTTTTTGAAGCAATCCACTTTTGTTTAATGGATATCGAAATATCTTTCTCTTTGTAATCCTTTGGCACTCCAGAATGGAAACTCTTTTGACATAATCGAAGTTCAAGCTACTTTTATAAAATGCCACGAGTTAGCGGCAATTTTAATAATAATAATAGCCGGATCCATTTAGAGATTAAGGAACAATGCAATGTGGGAACATTACCGAATAGATAATAGGTAATTTTAGCTTAGTTATACCAATGTTAAATTAAATGCGCATGCGTAAACACATATGCGCATGCGCAGAAAGTTTGTAGCTTTGAGGTCCGGATTATAGATCATTCCGGATTATGGACGTCCGTATTAAAGATTTTTGACTGTATTACCTTTGGAGGTTCTTATCTTCTCAATAAATAATATTAGAAAACTATGCTATTGTGTCTCTGGAAAAAATCCAAAATTTTATATAATACATATTTCATGTGTTATATATACCCTTTCTCATTTGTTAGCAAGTTTCAAGATGGTCATCTTTAACACATTGACTGCCAATTACGTGCCAGCGCATGAGGTTTTGTTATCAGCAAGGAGCCAGTCACGTGCCAGCATGTGATGTGGGGTGATGTCTCAGCAGCCAGTCACTCGCTGGCACAGGAAAATCCTGTACTTGTTATTCATTCTCCAGTTCATTTGGCATTGCATGCAGGGCATTTCTTCTGGTATTGGCATGGAGTGAAAATTAGAAACTACGTATAAATAATTGCAGTTTCGAAATTATTGTTTTATTTTTTTATTGAAAGTATAATCTTTTAGTATAAGTTATAGAGATGATAGTGCAGGGCTTTCGTGCCCGAAAAAAAGAAAAGTTTAATATAAAAAGGCTCTTATTGATGTTGAAAGAGAGAGGGCTGAGCTATCGGACGAGTACCGAACGATTAGAATTAGTGACCGCTCGTACCCATGATTTTGGATTCTGATGATGAAAACACGAATGTGGGAAGAGGCTCCAGCTCATTGATTCAATTATGGCGAAAACGATTTAACATCATGAAAAAATTTCCTTCATAAATCTAAATGTTTGCTCCAAACCGTTTCAGGTAAAAATCCTATAGATTTCTTTTGTCATTTTTTCACTGATGATATCTGAAAGAAATAGTTGCTGAAACTAATGATTATCTCAAAACGTACTTTTCGCAAGGAAAAAAGAAACATTCTCGCATCAATGTGGAAGAGCTCCTCAAAAGAGGAACTCTTGGTATTTGTGGGATTGATCATACGTATGGGAACTATACGAATCAACCGCATACAAGATTACTGGAAAACAGATTCACTGTTTGGTTTACATGTATTTTCAGAAAATATGAGCAGGAATCGGTTTTTGTTGTTACTGAAGGCAAAAGTCCCAGATCAAAATATGAAGCTTCCAAAGGATAGACTGTATAAAGTAAGAGATATGGTGAATCTGTTCAACGTGCGAGTATCTGAAATATATTACCCAGGGCGTGAGATTATTTAGATGAATCATTGATATTGTGGCATGGGCGGCTTATATTCACACAGTATATACCAAATAAACGTCACAAATATGGTATTAAGTTGTACATGATCACAACCCCTGATGGTATGGTTCTGAAATTTATGATATATACAGGCATGTTGGATGATTCTGGTGGAAAAGAACATGCAAAAAATTTCGTTATGAATTTACTCGAGGGAATGCTGGATGTAGGACATAGCATATTTATGGACAATTATTATAATAGCTATGAACTGTCAAAATGTCTTGCTGATAGGAAAACTCATTGCACTGGGACGATCAGAAAGATATTTCCGAAAGAGGTAAACGAAAAAAAAAAAAAAACTGAAGAAAGGGCAAACTGTAGCAAAGTATGCTAATGGTGTGATGATTGCAAAGTGGCAGGATAAGAGAGATGTCACTTGCATTCCAATGAATATAAAAATGATATGGCGGAAATAACAAACAAAAAGGTGAATTAAATTGAAAAACCTCTACCTGTATTAATATAATAAATTATGGCCAGTATTGATAAGCAAGATCAGATGCTTGCTTATTATCTTGTGAGAGAAAAACAATAGGTAGCCCACGAAAATTTGTGCATATTTTGCAAATAATGACAATTCCCCTTATCTATAATAAGTATTCCAGTGAAATAAATACTGTATGAATATGGTTTATCCGTGATACAAAATTTCTGAAACAGCCATCTGTTCTTCGTGCTCCTGTGTGTGATCAGTCTGAATCTGAACATGTGCTTGAGTACACGGGAAAAAAAAAAAAGGAAAAATTCTAAGAACGCAATGAAAAAGTGCTATTCCCAAGGAAACGTAAGATACAACATATGTTTGCAAATTTTGTGAAGGATCTTCAGGTACTGCTTAGATTGTTCAAAGAAATACACAAATAACATTCTATGTATCTGTAATGTCTTTGTAATTTCTTGTTATAAATTCTGTATATGTTAATTGTGTTGTAATACATATTGATAAAAATAATGGTACTTCACTTATTTTTCTTATTTATATTTTTAATTCCACGCGCCAGCACGTAATGTGGCATTGGGGAAAATTTAGACATAGTGCCAATCACGTACTGGCACGTAATTAAAAATTTATTTAATAAAAGGCTTTTAAAAATACTTAAGTATCAAATTATCTTTTATAATATTTTTAAATCATATTTTATAATAAGTATGTTTTCATCGGATACAGTTTATTCCAGTGGGTGGGTGGCAATAACTATCAATCTAACTCTAGTGACTGGCAGTCAATGTGTTAAGTTAGTGGTCATTGTATTTGTATCCCCATATATATAGTGCATTATATCCATTCTCCATATGCAGTATTTAGTTTTGATACTTGCAGTAAGTTACAAAGCAAAAATGTGTCTTTTTATGGTTTATGGATAATTTTATATCAATTCATTTAATTGATTAAGAATTTATTCAAATTACTTGAACAATCCAATACCCTAAATAGAAATTCTCTGTAAAGCAGAAATTGTGACACCATAGGTGTTTAATAACATCAACTGCAGTAGATCACAGATAAGAATATTGTTAGCTTAGCATTATTATAAAATGTAGGTTGGGTAATTATGCAAATGTTACTAATTTCTTGAGCAGCAATATTTATCCTTAAAAATTTAGTAGAAAATGGGTGATGAAAGTACATTTGCACATTCTGTAAAATTATTTTTAATTAATTACTTGTAAACTTTGTGTTTATATTTAAATTACCTTGGATGATCAAATATGAAGCCTTTATGTATAATATATAATATGACACTTTATTGGCTGAGCATCAGGAAGGCTATTTGCATGGGCTTGAGCAGTTGAAATTAGTAGGTTGTCTTGCCTAGAATAAGGGAACTAAACCACTTGACTTGTTCAGTGCTTATTTTATTAGCTGTCATAATGAGTGAGAAGAGTAAACCCATCTATCTGTATGGAGCAGCACATAATTATACCTCACCAATGAAAATGTGAAGCCTGGGAGAATTTACAGTTTCAGATAGATAGTGAAAGGGCATCATGTTCAGGAGTAAAGGTTTGGTGCAACGAATTCAAGCAAGGCTTGGAATACGTTGCAAATCAAGCTAATCCTCTTGTTCTTGCACCAGTAGAGAGCTGAAAATATTTCACTGTTTCTGCCGCTTCCTGGATCAAGTTAGGTTTCAATATCAACACAAAAGTGAGATTGTCCTATGTGCGAAATGTTTCACCTCTACCACAATGGCAGGCACCCCCCAGTTGTAACAATGGTCCCACACAGCTTTAACTGTTGACAAGTGCTTGATCATCCACCTTACAGCCTAGACTTAATACTATGCAATTTTTACATGTTTGGACCCCCAAACATGTAAAGAGAAACACTTGGGGATGTATGATTCAAGACCAATGATCAAAAGGAAACATTCATGCGCCACTGCTTAGATACCCTTTTAGCTTCTTTCATTGACAATAGAATGACAGAACTGTCAAAATATTGGGGAAAATGTGTCATAAAAGAAAGAGACCATGTAGAGAAACAGTTTTCATGACTGTATAGATCTGTCCTATAACAAAATTTTTTATTAAAAGCTTGTTCATATTTAATCAATTATTAATTTATTTTTGTCTATATATTTTAAATTTAATAAAGTTAAAATTGGCTAATAATAAACATCTGTGTATTTGATTATATATTTTGAAAGTACAAAAAAGCTGATCATGTCTTCCATGTTGGATTTGTTAAGTATAATAAAATTTTAAGTATATTAAGTGAAAATTAATTTAAAATATGCTTTATACATTTTTAATTTCAGTACTTTTAACATTAATGCTTTTTCACTTGAAACTGTCTAATTGAAGTAGAATTTTAAATTTAAAGTTCTCACGAATATCTTTTATCTGTTTAATAATTATGTACTGTCTTTTATGTGTATTTTGTTGTTTTCTTAAACACTGCCAAAAGGCAAATGACAGAATTATTATCCTTATATTTCAGTTACAATTGCATATGGATTCATTTATGAGGATTTTAAATATTAAATTTCAGATAAGAATGTATGTATTTCGATATTGTTGTTATGAGCCTTAATTGAAATAATTTGAAAAACATTTTCTTCCTCATTAAAATTTATGAATTATGTATAGATATCATCGAATTCTGAAAAGAGAAAAACTGAAGAAAATGATGAAAGAATTTGAAGAATTACAGAAAACAGATGCTGCAGCTGCTCTTGAAAAATTTTTAGAAGCTGATAAACTTCGAATACTAGTAAGATTGTTATTAATGATAGAGCTTCTGCATACACATATTGAAATGTAATGTTAACTGGTTAATGAAAGCAGATTAAAATTTAAAGTATCTTGTCTTGAAATGAACTAAAACAGAATCATATTCTTTATTATTATTATTATTATTATTATTATTGCTATAAAAGGCTGCGTAAAAAAACATGAACACTGTTTTACTTCCTTGTATGAAGTAAAAAGGAAGTATTATAATCACAAAAAATTTCGGGTATCATATTTCAACGAACATATCCATTTTGACCGCATTCAAATGCAATTTAACGACGTTTTTCCATGACATCTGTACGTAAGGGACTCTTTTCCGGAGGAAAATATATATATATATATGTATGTTTGGTGAGGCCGATTGCAACCATAATACGAGGTGCACATCTACATGTTATAGCAGTCCTATATACAAAATTTCAGTGTTCTGAAGCTACTTGTTTTTGAGTTATGCGAGATACATACAGACATAACGTACATACGCACAAGACGCAACTCTCGGTCTTGTGCATATGTACGTTATGTCTGTATGTATCTCGCATAACTCAAAAACAAGTAGCTTCAGAACACTGAAATTTTGTATATAGGACTGCTATAACATGTAGATGTGCACCTCGTATTATGGTTGCAATCGGCCTCACCAAAACGTACATTACCCGGCTCAGTGATTACAGTTTCTTTACTCTTATATGTTTGTAAGTTGTGCATTTTTTGCTTTAAAAATGAATTATGTTGTTCTTCCGGTTAAGGTTTTTATGCCTTTAGGAAATCTGTAAGCAATATTTGTAGAATTATCAACAATTTGAAAGCTGTTTAAGTGCGGTTAAGCCTAATTTTTAAAATAACGTGGCAGATATGTTTGTTTACATTTGAAACAGCAGAATAGTAAATTTGTTGCCAATCTAGAGAGACTAAGCTTCACAATAACAAAGATAACGCCTTCATTTATTATTGCGAATTAAATCATGCTTAATCCTTTCTGGAATTTTTCAAGGAAATAAGTATTTAAGATTTACTTCCAAATTTTTAATATAGATATTTTGAGTTTTTATGTATTTTTGCCTTGTCACGAAGTAAGAACTGAATTAATTGAATGAAAAATACTGAATCATCTGTGAAAAACCTTTTCTTTTGTTTGTTTGTTTAATTTTTTTTTTATACATCATTTTAGATTTATTATAGTATTTGAATAGAACATGTGGCAACGATTAGATAATTCTTCAGCTGGTATAAATTTTGTGCATTCTGAGTTATAAAATGAATGAGATGTAATGCTGTTAAGTGAACCTAGTGCCAAAGTGTTGCTATTGTAAACAAATACAGTGAATTTTAAAGAATGCATTTATTCTATTGTGGTTTATGCGCTATCGATGGAGAAACAAATACACATCATTAAGTAATGATGTATTGATTTAATGTTCTGTTTTAGTTCAGTTCATTATTTAAGTAATTTATTGGTTTAGAAGAATATTTTGAAATTTATTACATTTTAATAAAAGTTGATTAATTTTCTTCTTAAATTAGCAGTTTTAAAATATAGTAAAGTTGATGATTATTGTATTAAATATAGTAAATAATGTAACATATTTTCTGTAAAATATTCTTGTTTTATATATTTCATAGAAAGTAATAGCTATTTAAGAAGTAGAGCAATATCTGTATCATCAACCAAGAACTTTTAGACTGCAGTATTTAAACATATATCTTTTCTTAACTTTCCAAATTAGATTTGTCATTAATTATATGGCTGTTATTTTAATTTGTATGTGATATGAATGTGTTTCATTGCATCTTTCCAAATTAGATTTGTCATACATAATTATATGGCTGTTATTTTAATTTGTTTGTGTTATGAATGTGCTTCATTGCATCAGAAATTGTTTATGTGTTTTTTACTTGATTGTATAGTAATTCAAATATATGCGTTGTATTTTAGGAAAGAATGACTTTAAAACATAGAAACACTGGAAAATGGGCAAAGCAGCAAAAAATAAGAGCTAAATATAATCCTGAGGTATTTGCTATCCTATCATAATTTTTATCATTATATATATATTTCAAAATATATATTTCTGTCGTCAAGCAGCTATATTTGTAAAGATGTTTTTAATGAATTTTCTGTTTAGTTAATATTGTGATTGTTGCAAATGTGACGATATTAAAATTGACTTTGATCAGAACTTCAAATTTATTTACATTATGCAGAAATTATTGTAAATGTATCTACAAATAATGCATTATTACAAAAGCTATTATTTGTGTGACATTAAAAGTTACAGCCCATTAACAACCAAGTAGTAAAATTATTGAACACTGACAATTTGAACTGGATTTGGTTGCAGATGAATGAGTTGGCTGCATGGTTTGTTTTCATGATTTTCTCCACATTTAACATAAATACAAGTAGGTTTCTTTTAGAAAGTCCTCCACAAGGGCATCGTTCCTCTTAGGCAGATAGCCCCTCACATGCTTTGCCATAATCTAATAAACCAAACCATTAAAAGTTACAAACCTTGGTTATTAGATCATTACTACCTGCTAGTAGGTGGCTTATGGCAAGAATCATGTTTGATTAATTACTTTGCAACTTAAAACATGTGAGCTTAAAATTTTGATTAGTTGTAATGTGTGTTATGAAGTTTGACCTCCAGGTTATCAAACTAGTCAAAATCTGAAAACAAAATTTTTTATTTGGATAAATACTTTTAATGGGTAATAGATATCCTGTATTGTTATGAAGAGTTTGTGTTGTTTAATGTTTACCAATCGACTGTTTTAGAAAATTCTAAAAAAGAACATTGCATCGAATCATTTAAGGTAATAATATAAAGAAAGCATTTGTATCATAATCAATGGTCAGAATCAGCATTTTTTTAGGATGAATATTTTGAGCTACAGCATTTCCTGGCTGCTTCTCTGAATGTAGCTAAACACTGGATTGACTACTTTAGCTACATCTACAGTAAGATCAAACTTCATAAATTAAAAATGTCTTCTTAAATGAATTTAGACGTTTAGAGTATGATTTAAATTAATATTACATGCCTTTAAATGATTTTGTAGTTATCAAATCTTCAGTTATTCAGTAATTCAGTTATCAAATCTTAAGTTTCCCAATTTCCAAGAACTCATAGATAAATTAATTAAATCACCGTTTCTCATGCGTTGTTTTCAGATGGAGTTCACTTTTACAAATTAGAATGTTCTGTGGACCACCTTACTCTTGGTCCCTCTTGAAAGCAATTTTTTTAGTATGTGATAGTACAAATATAATTAATGAAAATTCATTTAATCTTTTATTAGTATTCTCTATCCTCATCTTCCTCAAACTGATGAACCTCAAATAGAGAAACTCTGGTTGATTTTGGGTATTTAGTTGTTGGCAAAATATGTTGCAAAGTTTGATTTTATCCATTACAGTTTTAACTCATTAAATTTGTTCCAATCTTGAATTATGAACTGAAAAATTCCTTGATATGATATACCCTATCTTCCTTCTTTAAAAAATTCCATTTATTCTTCTCTGTTAATGTTCATTATTTAACAGATACCTAAAATTTTTTCAAGTTGACTTTTAGCTGTGTCAGCATTCCAATTTAATAACACCGCAAACTTTAAAAAAAAAAAAAAAAAAAAAAAAAAAATCATAATGTCATGTCATAAGATGCGTAAATTAAATTTGCATTAGAACCCATTGTTAGGTTAACAGTTTGATGGAGGAGTCATCAAAATAAAGCTTACACTTCATAATATGCATCTGTAATGCATGTTAATTCTTGATGAGAACATAAAGCCCAAAAACTAATCATGTTTATGCTGGCCAACATAGCATATAAATTTCTGAGTTGATCATTATTAAATTTCTAAATCTGAAATTCATTTTTCAGGTTATTAAATAAATTTTTAATATATCTTGTTTTATTTACTTAATTTATTTATTAAATCTAGAGTCGTTCCAATTTAAAAGAAGATATTTTGATTGGTCGTCAGTTGAGGGAAAAAGTAGCAGTAGATGACTCCACCATAGCAAGTTTAAAAGCAAAATCTCGTTATTATTCTGCAAATGTAGATGAGCCTAATATGGATCTGATACACAATCGTGGCCTTGTTGAAGATGTAAGAAGTGCTGAAAATCCTGTTGTCGATGTCGAATCTTGTATTTCTGTGTAAGTGTGATGCTCATATTCTTTTTCTGTAAAGACAATATTTCAAAGTTTTCTTCAGTAATTACCATTGTCAGTTTAGCTCTGAGTAACTTATCTTTATTATAGGGCAGTACTTTAATAATGTTAAGGTATTAAAACCATTAAAATAACAGAAGCTTATTATGATTTAAGTTACACATATTATTACAAGTTTTGCTGCCTCTAAGTGTAAGTGGAATCAGTGAAAAAATTTTTAAAAGATAGCAACTACATTCAGGAATCTCCTCATGAAAATATTAAGATTTATAAAAAAATCTCAAAACTTGACTCATGAAAGGATTTGTTCTTAATATTTCAAATTCCTGATTCTTGAGAGATTCTTAGAAATCTTGGGAATAAATAAAGTCGTTTTTTTCTCCCCTTTATGAAAGGCGATTTCCCAAATCTAAATACGTTTTTTTTTTTTTTTTTCCACCAAATTGTGCAACAGTAGCCTCTTGATATGGGATTCAATCATTTATACTTTCTGTAATACCTCCAAGAAAAGTCAGAAAAATGTGATAAAAACACCAGAAACCTTTATTAAAACTTTGTTTATTGCAGTTTTTGCAAAAGTTGAAATAACATAATAAAGGCGGTTTTTAATGTTGGTTGTGCATTAGCACTGAAGGCGTAATGAGTACGTTTCCTCAAGCACAGAATTAAAGAATCATAAGTCAAAAGATTAACTACGAAATCTTTATTTAATAAAATAGGATAATTTTGCTTAACTTAAGCATAACAAAAAGTAATAATCTTCACAGACATTAAAACACTGAAGTATTGAAAAGAATAACTTACATAGAATCATCATCAGTCCTAAATATCATCAGGCTTACCTATTTTAGGCAATAAGAAAAAAAAATAAACAGGAATATACTTTGCCATCGTACCTGAAAGAGAAGAAAGTACTACTACTGGATTAGACCTTTGGCCAGGTACAAGTAGCTAGGGTGAAAATCAAATATACTGCATTGCACACGAAGCTTTACTTTCTCTCGCCAATATATACCTTGGCGCACGTTCGTTTCGTATGCCTTTCGAGTTTCATTATGCAAAATACCTAAATTTATGCTAACATTGCCCCTGTTTTGCTAATGAAACTCATACCAATTGTAATTCATTCCTGCAAAACTGAAATTTAGCTTTAGGAATTGGTTTAGTCATAATATCAGCAACCATTTGCTCTGTTGAAAGATAAGCAAGTTTTACTATTCCTTTGTTATTCAAGTCGCGTATATGATGAACTTTTGTATCAATATGTTTTGTGCGTGAACTGAATTTTTCAGATTCTACAAGTCTTATAGTAGACTGATTATCTTCAAATACCTTTATCGGTAGAGTTTGGGGTAGATTGAAATCTTCTGTTAATTTTAATAGCCATAATAGTTCTTGCGTAGCTTGCGATAGTGCAACATATTCAGCTTCTGCTGAGGATAAAGAAACACAAGTTTGTTTTCTTGAAAACCATGAAATACAGTTCCTTCCTAATAAAATAACACTTCCTGATGTAGATTTTCTATCTTCAATATCTTGTCCCCAATCAGCATCTGAATAAACTGTAATATTAGGTTCTTCACTCGACGAAATTTGTAAGGATAGATTCTTTGTCGTGTTTAAGTATCTAATGATTCTTTTAACAGCATTCCAGTCCTTTTGACGTGGATTATTACACCTTCTGCTGAGTATGTGAGTTGAAGCTGTGATATCTGGTCTTGTGATAGACGATATATACAAAAGACTTCCAATAGCTTGGCGAAATTTATCATTTGAAGTTAGGAGATTTTCTTCCTTGTTTAGGTTATAATAGTTTCGTTTCCATTGGTGTGCTAGCGGTTTCGCTTCTTCAAGTTGAAATTGCTTGACAAGTTGATTTATTTTATTTTTCTGTGATAAGAGATAACTTCCATCTTCCTTGCGATTTATTTCCATGCCTAAGAAATATTTAGCTTCACCAAGATGCGTTATTTGGTAACGTTTCTTTAAATCATTAATTGTTTGAAGAATTAGTCCTTCTTCTGTAGAACTTATTAGGATGTCATCAACATACACTATTAAATTAATTCTTTTATCACGAACCACTTTTGTGAAAAGACACGGATCTGCTTTGCTTTGACTGAACCCCAGATTCTTCAAGTGTATTTTCAATTTCTGCATTCCAGCACCTAGCTGCTTGTTTGAGACCATAAATCGACTTCTGTAATTTACAAACTTTATGTCTTTCTTCCGGAACCACGAATCCTTCTGGTTGTTCCATATATATTTCTTCATTTAAGTTGCCATACAAAAAAGCTGTTTTAACATCTAGTTGATGTACCTTGGCATTATTATACGCTGCCCATGCTAAGAAAACTCTTATCGTAGTGTGTTTCACTACTGGTGAAAAAGTTTCATCATAATCACTGCCGTATTTTTGAGTAAATCCTTTGGCTACTAAGCGTGCTTTGTATTTTATATTTTTACCAGTTTCATCATATTTTGTCTTAAACACCCATTTGCTGCCTACTGCATGTTTTCCTGGTGGTAATTCTGTAAGTTTATAGGTTTCATTTTCTTTTAGAGAATGTATTTCTTCTTGCATAGCCTTGATCCAAGCTTCTTGTTCACGTTTTGGTAAGTTTAGAATTTCTTCAAAGCTTTCTGGATCTTTAATTTTAAGTAAGATTGATTCTTCGTCTTCTGCTTTATAAGAGAATCTTTCCGGTGGGACCCCTTTGGTTGATCTGCTAGAAACCCTTCTTTCTACATTTTCTTCACATTTAATTAACTCTTCGGAACTTTTTGAATCTTCTGTAAAATCATCGCCAAGAGATGTTTCTTCATTATTTTCTTCATCTTCTTGCGAGTTATTGAAGTGAATTAATTCTAAATCTTCAGCATTATTTTCTGCAAGTTTGTCAGATAAAGACGCGTTTTCTGAAAATTTAACAGTTCTACTTACTATTATTTTTCTTCCACCTACATAAATCCTGTATCCCTTACTTCGTAAATCGTATCCTACGAATATTCCTTCTTCAGCTCTGTTGTCGAATTTACGCCGTTTTTGTTTGTTCACATAATAAAATGCTTTACAGCCAAATACTCGTAAGTGACTTAAGTTTGGTTTTCTACCATTCCACAATTCATATGGTGTTCTATCTGTGGCTTTAGTTGGTAACCTATTTTGAAGATATGCAGCAGTAGCTGCTGCTTCAGCCCAGAATCCTTTCGGTAATTTAGAGTTTATTAGCATAGCTTTTGTCATTTCTATTAAAGAGCGATTTTTCCTTTCTGCGACGCCGTTCTGTGCCGGACAATAAGGAACCGAAGTTTGATGAAAAATGCCGAGTTTCTTTAAATAATTTCATTTTCAGTACTTTCGTTACAGTATTCTGTACCGTTGTCGGATCTGAGAACCTTTATTTTCTTTCTAAATTTATTTGTTGTCGATGCAACATACTGTTTAAGTTTGTCGAATACTTCATCTTTTGAAGTAATAAAATAAATTTGAGTATAACGCGAATAGTCATCAATGAAAGTTACGAAATATCTTTTCCCTCCTAAGCTGTTGACTTCAATTGGCCCACACACATCTGTGTGCACTAAATCCAGTGGATTTTTAGATCTAAAACTAGTTTTGGGATAAGGTTTTTCAGTTAGTTTCGCTTTTACACAAGTAGAACATTCCACACTATGAGTGCATTTGCCAAGTTTAATGCCGTCTGCCAAATCATTTTTCTCAAGTGTTTTTTATGGCATCTATATTTCTGTGGCCTAATCTTTGATGCCATTTTAGTATACAGTTCGTATTTGAACATGAAACATTCATTAGCTAAGTATGCTTTCTCATCAATTGAGTTTACGGTCAATTTATATAAACCTTGCTGAGCGTTGCCGTCGGCTACGAGTATATTGTTACGCTTTATGTAACACTTATTACTATCAAATGTAACAATGCAACCTTTATTGGTAACAGATTGAACAGAAAGTAAATTACTATCTAAACCTGGTACATACAATACATTTTCTAATTTTATTTGTGTAACCTGACCCTTTAAGTTTTGAACTTTAAAATAGCCTTCACCAATACCATAAGAATTTAATTTAGCACCATTGGCTACAGTTACTATTTGTTTATTAGAGTCATTTAACTGAGAGAAAAAATTCTTATCACTCGTCATATGAGTTGAGGCTCCTGAGTCGATAACCCATTCTTGCGTTTGCGTGTTTTCATGTTTATTTTCCACTTTTAGAACTTGATTAAACTGAATCTGCGAATTTTCAGTTTCAATACTTTTAAGATACTTATTTTCTTTAAGTTTTGTTATGTTTTCTACACTTTGCGTATTTGCTATTTGGCATGCATTACTTTTATAATTTTGAGAATAATTTCTTACTTTACTGTTATTTACATCTGTTTTCGGGGAAGTTCTAGCGTTGCGTTTTAAATGAAAACAGTCATTATCGTATGGTTTATTTCTCTACAAAGACAAACGGTAACTTTGACACCGACCTAAAAGAAATACTACTGATTAGTGATTGGTGTATTTAATTTGCAAAGCACACTAGACTATCTGCCAAGGGAGGCATGCCTTCGTTAGACTTTCTAAGGGAAACTGGCTCGTATACACGTTACACATGGGGAAAACCACGAAAACACCCATGCAGCCAGCCCGTTCGCGGGATTCGAACCTCAGACCGAACTACCAGTGTTCAGCGACTTTGCCGCTCGGCCGCACTAACTGAATTAGACCGTTGACCGTGATATAAGTAGCTAGGGTGAAAATCGAATACACTGCACGTAGCTAAGGTGAAAGTCAAATATACTGCATTGCACACGAACTTTACTTTTCTCTCGCCAATATATATCTTGGCGCACGTTCGTTTCGTATGCCTTTCGAGTTTCATTATACAAAATACCTAAATTTATGCTAACATTGGCCCTGTTTTGCTAATGAAACTCATACCAATTGCAATTCATTCCTGCAAAACTGAAATTTAGC